CGCATAGTATTAAGGGCTAATTTCATCATATCTTTATTATTTTCCAATTTACAAAATTTCTTAAATTTGATGGAATATCGATACATCTCAAAACGTATCGATACATCGCGTTCTGATTTTGGATACATCTCACAATGTCCCGATACATGCGTCTCGATTTGAGATACATCACTCAACATCCCGATATATCACGTAAAATAATATATTTAAGAATAAGATAGAGTAAAGATTTTTATAATTTTTTCATATGATAACTTTTTTTAAAAAAATATAGAGTAATAAAATAAATTATGTAGAGTATTTAAATAACTTTTCCAAATTCGAATGCCCAAAAAAAAATCGAAGTGATTTACCAATAATGTTTGACTATTGTAATATCCGATTCGAAAATGATAGTACCTTTTTCAATACCCAAGGTTGACTCTTCCCCTGAGAATTCATTACATGATCACTAGACACAAGATGCCCTGCATTGAATGAGGGCGGCTCAAGTATATTAGATAAAAATGAATTGGAGGCTTAGAACTTATTATTTTTTTAAAATTTGATTTAAAGTTTATTTTTTTAATTTTTTAAGATGTAGAATTGCTATTATATTTGAAATTATTTTTGAGATGAAAGTTATTTCTTTCTTTTTGATAAGGTTTATTTTTTTTTTCTTTAAATAGGACTCCATCCGTTTCAATATTTGTTGAACTTTGACTTAACTCAAAATTTTAAAAAATAAAGAAGATTTTTGAATTTTATGATCTTAAACTAAAAATATGTATGACATATCAAAATATCATTTAATTTAGGGAAAAGGCTCAAATATGCCATCGAACTTTCAGAAAGGGCTCATTTATGTCATCCGTTAAAAGTTTGGTTCATCTATGCCATTACCGTTTAAGAAAAGGCTCATTCATGCCATTATTTTTTAACAGTGGTTTTGCAAAACCATTTTTTACACGTGGCCAATTATAATTCGGCCACATCATTATTTTTTTTATAAAAAAAAATAATCAAAATTCTGAATAAAAATTGAATTATAATTCGGCCACGTCATTATTTTTTTAATTCAATTTTTGTTCAGAATTTTGATTTTTTTTATGAAAAAATTAATGATGTGGCCGAATTATAATTGGTCACGTGTAAAAAATGATTTTGCAAAAATTGAATTAAAAAAAAAAGATAATGACGTGGCCGAATTATAATTCAATTTTTGTTCAGAATTTCAAATTTTTTTATTAAAAAAATTAATGATGTGGCCGAATTATAATTGACCACGTGTAAAAATGGTTTTGCAAAACCACTAGTTAAAAAATAATGGCATGAATGCCTTTTCTTAAACGGTAATGGCATAGATGAACCAAACTTTTAACGGATGGCATAAATGAGCCTTTTTTGAAAGTTCAATGGCATATTTAAGCCTTTTCCCTTTAATTTATGATCTAAAGCATGTGAAAATGTTAAAACTTTTTAAAAAAAGTATATTTTTAGATTTAATAAATATTGGTATGTTAACGACAACGACAAATATATGTCATTTATTGGATAACGATGGTATCTATGAGTCCTTTTTAATCAAATGATGAATATATCAACTCTTAATCGCAAAATTAAGAAATACATAAGACTTTTTTCCTTATTATCTTTACAAAAATACCTTCAACATTTGTTTCATTTGGATAACGATGGTATCTATGTTTCATTTGTTTCTTCTTCTTTTTTTCTTTTTTTTTTTAATTTGGGATTTGGTCACTTTTGGTCCAAAGCTCTTTATTTGTCTTTTGGTATATAATAAAGGGAAAAGGGTTCAAATGCCCTTAAATAATGTGAAAGGAATAAAAATGTCCTCCGTTTATAGTTTTGCTCAAAAATGTCTTTATCGTCAATACTTAGATTCAAAAATGGCCTTAAACTATGCAAAAGGAACAAAAATGCACTTCATTTGTAGTTTGGTCCAAAAATGTCATTGTTGTAAATACTTTGATCCAAAAATGCGCTTATTGTTATTTAATGGGTCAAAAATGCTCATTTCCAAATAAATATATTATTATTTTCTTTTTGACACATTCTTTTTCTAATTTTTTTTTTTTTAAATTTAGCAAATGTTTATCTTACTTCAATTCAGAAAAAAATAAAGAATGAAAATATTTCTTCTTTTATTATCATTATTTTTTATCGTTATATAAATATAAATTAATGATGGATATACTATGATCTTATATATATGACATATATTATCTGTCGAAAGGGTACATGAAGTTATTCTATTTTAATTGATAAAATGAGATTAAGAAGAAAAAAAATATTTCCTACATTTTTATTTGTTGTAGTGATTTTAGAACATAGAAGAAAGAAAACAAGGATAGTGTTCTTTAATAATATTTTAATTAGGAAGAAAAGGTGTTTAAAAAGAAAAAAATAATATATTTATTCGGAAAAGGGCATTTTTGACCCATTTTTTTTAACTATAGGGGCATTTCTGGACCAAAATATTGACTGCAAGGATATTTTTGAGCCAAAATATTGACGGTAAGGACATTTTTGAGCTAAACTATAAACAGAGGACATTTTTGTTCCTTTTACATAATTTAAGGACATTGTTTATCCTTTTCACTAGGGGTGGCAAATTCAAACCCACCCGTCCAATCCGGCCCAACTCATTTGTTATTAGCCTACCCATTTGTTAGTTCAATCTATTTCAACACAACCCATTTCAATTCATTAAAAATTGAGTTGATATGTAACTCAAATTGATTTTTGAGAAATTTTGTCAAGTATTTTTAAAAAACTTTTTTTAAAATTTATATGTTATATATAGCTATTATAAAGAAAAAAAATAATTTTATTAGGTACTAAAATCTTATAAAATAACAAATAAAGCTATTAAAATTTACTAAAAATTGGGCGGGTTGAATTATGACCCGTTTTGACCCAACCATTTCGGTCCAAATAAATTTGGATTGGATTGAGTCTTGACTTGTTTATTGTCTTGACCCATTTTGACCCGCCCAATTGCCACCCCACATCTCACCACCCCAAACACATTTTTACCCCTTCCTTTCTTCTTCTTCCACCACACTAGCAACTCCTTCTCCATCACCATCAACGTCACCATAAATTAATTATATCAACACAAGAATATATTTATAGTTCCTTTCTGAATCACTTAATATTCTTAAAGGAGCCATTCAAAATATATCTATTTTATTAAAAGAACTATTTAAAGTTCAACCATAATTGATAAACTGAAGATCTGAACTATCAAAGCTTTACTTCAAACAATAAGGTAAACATAGGTGCAATAAGTTGCACTTTCTCTTCCTATCATAATACATTTCTGCCTTGTTGCCCTCTACACCTCTAGAATTTCTATAATTTAATTGATGAAAATCAAAATCAAAATGAAAAATAATATTAGAAACACCAACATTCCCATGACAATCCAGCAAGTGAATAACTAGTGATAGAGTCTGAAGACAAATATGGGGCTCTGGAGGTCTATTAAGTTCTTCTTATCTTCATCCAGTGACTCTATGTATATGTCTTCCCGTGGTTCTTCATTCACTCCGGTCTGTGTGGCATATTCCAAACCCATTTCGTAGTCCACCTGCAACACAAAACAATGAACCATATAGAATTTTGTTCATCCAGATCCTTCTTGACAAAATATAGCAATATTAGCAGGTTCTGGGGAACCATCTCAATTTCCAATTTTACAGCCGCAATCAGGTTCATTGAACCACTTTCTTTGTCAAATTCAAGAGGCAAAAACAACATCTTGTCAAGTTGAAGGCAGAAGTACTTGATCATAATGTCATACATAAGCTTCTCTGCCCTAGAATAAAATCTATACAAGGATCATACCTTTTCGACATGCTGAGCAAGCTTTTCTCTGAATGTATCTTTTGTTAATGAATTAACTGAAACTTGTTTTAGTAGGTCAGCATTGTCATCCCTGAAGCGTCTCTTTTTTGATGCATGCACAATTGTCGTCTGTTTTAGGAGATCATATATAGCAGCAGTAGCACTAGGAATATACCTGCATCCAGCAGAAAAATGGTATTGAATTTGACTGATGAAACATAAATTACTAATATGAACCTTAAATGATCCGCTTACTTGCTCAGATTCCGCTTCCTTTCCTGCTGCTCACGAGCATGAATTCTTTTTACAATTTTTGATTTGAGCTGATTGCAGCATTGCTGAATAGCTGTCTGGAACATTGATTCTGTTAGTGTACTGAAAAATTGCTCAATAATTTGTTAACGGCAGACAATAGAAATTACCTTGACAGCAGAAGCTATCTCACTTATGTCATCTCCAATATACTCCTTGCCAGTCCCTTTAAAGGGGATTTTGGTGCTAACAATGCTCACAAAGACACCAATCTTGTCTTGTGTTTGGTTGATCTTGTAACTGTTCCAACTAAAAGTGACATCTTATTACTGTCTGCAGTTCAATTTGCAGCAATATTCCCACCCTCGCCCAAAAAGGGAAAACCCAACAAAAAAAGAGGAAAGCAAAAAGAGTATGAGACATAAGAGGAGCCTCAAAGGAAAAACTATCCCCCCCCCCCCCCCCCCCCCACCACCGACAAGAAGA